ATTAATTTAAAAAACTCCTTTCCTAGGAAAGCATGATGCATTCTTGTAACCCCAGGTACTCCAAGGCTGAGGCAGAAGGATTGCAAGCTCCAGGCCAGCTGGGCAACTTAGTGAGACCTCATCTCAAAATTTAAAAAGGGAATTGGGGTTTTAGCTCAGTCAGTGGTGGAGCACTTGCCTCATATGTATGAGGCACTGGGTCAATCCTCAGCACCACATAAAAAATAAATTAATTAAATAAAAGTATTATGTCCCTCTATATCTAAAAATGTTTAAAAAATTAAAAAGGGCTGGGGATGTAGCTCAGTGATAGAACACTTGCCTAGCATGTGTGAGACTCTGGGATCAATATCCAATACCATTTAAAAAAAGCTGCTTTCCTGCCTTCACTATTGCTTGTTTTTTCAATTGTTATCTTGAGATATGTGACTGAGCCTAGTCTGTTGGGACCCCCAGAGCCAGGGCCTTCTTCCTAAAACTCTGGTAACATTACTGGTGAAAGAATAGATGAATAGATCAATGTAACATGGTAAAGAGCCCCAAAATAGGCCCACACAAATATACCCAACTGATCTTTGACAAAAAAGCAAGAGCAAGCCAGGCACAGTGGTGCATACCTGTAATTCCAGTGACTCAGGAAAGTGAGGTAGGAGGATCACAAGTTCGAGGCAAGCTTCAGCAAATCAGTGAGGCCCTAAGAAATTTAGTGAGACTGTGTCTCAAAATAAAAAAAATATTATAAGAAAGATCTGAAGATGCAGCTCAGTGGCAAAGTGTCCCTGGGTTCAATCCCCAGTGCCAAAAAAAGAAAAAGAAAACAGAAAAGAAAAGAAATGAAGAAATAATGAGTTTTTGTTTGTTTTGCCATGCTTGGGATGACCAAACCCAGGGCCTTGCCCATTCTAGGCAAATGCTGTACCACTGAGCTACATGCTTAGCTAAGAAATAATAGTCTTTTCAACAAATTATGCTGGAACAACGTGATATGCAAAAATTAAAAAAGAATCTAGCACAGACATTATACATTTCATAATGATTAACTCAAAAATGGATTTTTAGAGCTGGAGACATAGCTCAGTTGGTAGAGTGCTTGCCTCATATGCACAAGGCCCTGGGTTCAATCCCCAGCACCACCACCGAAAAAAAAAAAAAAAAAGGATCATAGACCTGTGTGTATAAAACTTCTAGAAGGTAACATAGGAGAAAATCATGTGATCTTGAGCTTGGCAATGACTTTTTAAATACAACACCAAAACTATGATCCACAAAAGGAGAATTTGATAAATGAGACTTTATTAAAATTGAAAACTTCATGCCAGGTGTGATAGCACATGCCCATATCCCAGTGACTTGGAAAGCTGAGGCAGAAGGATCACAAATTCAAGGCCAGCCTCAGCAACATAGCAAGATCCTGTCTCAAAATAAAAAATAAAAAGGGTTGGAAATGTGGCTCAGTGGTAAAGCACCCCTAGGTTCAATCCCTGGCATCAATAAAAAAATAAATAAAAAGAAAGCTTCTGCTTTGTGAAACACAGTATTAATAAAATGAAGCAATAAGGCACAGACTGTGAGAAATGTCTGTAAAACATTTATCCAGCAAGTCTTACCCAAAATATATTTTAAAAAATCTCTTAAGGGCTTGGGATGTGGCTCATTGGTAGAGTGCTTGCCTAGCATGCACAAGGCCCTGGGTTTAATCTCTAGCACTGCCTAAAAATTTAAAAATTAAGGACTCTTAGCACTTGCCTAGAATGTGTGAGGTACTAGGTTCAATTCTCAGCACAACATACAAATAAATTAATTAAATAAAGGTCAACAACAACTAAAATAATATTTTAAAAAACCTCAACAATAAGAAGGCAAACAAACTGTGTCTTGTCCTTTAATTGAATAAATTTGAGGGGGTAAAAAAACAATTAAGTCTGGGTGCAGTAATACATGCCTATAATCCCAATGGCTTGGAAGGCTGAGGCAGGAGGATTTTGAGTTCAAAGACAGCCTCAGCAGCTTAGCAAGATCTTGTCTCTAACTAAAATATAAGAAAGGGCTAAGGATGTGGCTCAGTGGTTAAGCATCCCTGAGTTCAATCCCCAGTACCAAGAAAATAATAATAATTAAGAAATGAGCAAACCTGGCATGCACAAGGCCCTAGATTTAATCCCCAGTACTACAAACAGCGCACGCACGCACACACACACACACACACACACACACAAATAAGCAAAGGTCTGAACAGATATCTCACCAAAGAAGACATTCAGATAGCAAATAAGCATGTAAAAATGTGCTCGATATTATGTACTATATCATTAGAAAATTTCAAATTAAAACAATAAGATATAGTTGAGTATGGTGGCATATGCTTACAATACCAGCTGCTGGGAAGGATGAGGCAAGAGGATCATAAATTCAAGGCCAGTCTCAGAAACTTGAAATAAAATTTAAAGAGAGTTGGAGAGGTAGCTCAGTGGTAGAGCAGTTTCCAGCATATATGAGGCCCTGGGTTCCATCCCCAATACTGAAAAACATTTTAAAAAGTAAGGTACAACTACACACGTATTAGGGCAGTTAAAATCCAGAATACCAACTATACCAAATGCTCATGAGAATATTCAGGAACAGGAACTCTCATTTGTGGTTGGAAGGGATTCAAAATGCTGAAAACCCCTGGAAGACAGTTTGGCAATACTCTTACAAAAGTAAACAAAATCTTACCATAGGGCTGAGGATATAGCTCAGTTGGTAGAGTGCTTGTATAGCATGCACAAAGCCCTGGGTTCAATCCCAGCACCAAAATAAATAAATAAATAAATAAACAAGCAAACAAACAAATAAATAAATACAATCTTACCATATAACTCAGCAATTATGTTCCTACTTGTGTAACCAGTTAAGTTGAAAACTTAGGTCCACAAAAACATGCACATGAATTATCAGAGAAGTTTTATTCATAAATCTCCAAAACCTAGAAACAACCAAGAAGCTCTTCAATACGGGAATGGATAAACAAACTGTGGTACATATATACCATGGAGTACTACTTAGTGGTAAGAAGAAATGAACTATCAGGTCACAAAAACATATGAAGGAACCTTAAATATAAATTACTAAGTGAAAGAACCCAGTCTTAGAGGCGGGAAGGAAAGAGAGGGAGCAAGGGATTAGCAAGGACGGTGGAATGTGATAGACATCATTATCCAAAGTACATGTATGAAGACACAAATTGGTGTCAACATACCTTATATACACCAGGGATATGAAAAATTGTGCTATATATGTGTAATAAGAATTGTAATGCATTCCACTGTCACTTATTTTTTTAAAAAATCAATAAACAACAACAACAAAAAAGAACCCAGTCTGAGAAAGCTAAATAGTATATAGTTCCAACTACATTGACATTTTAGAAAAGGTAAAAACTACAGACAATCAGGTGCGCCTGTAATCCCAGTGGCTCGGGAGGCTGAGGTAGAAGGATCAAGAATTCAAAGTCAGCCTCAGCAACAGTGAGGCGCTAAGCAGCTCAGTGAGACCCTGTCTCTAAATAACATACAAAATAGGGCTGTGGATGGGGCTCAGTGGTCGAGTGCCCCTGAGTTCAATCCCTAGTACACACACACACACACAAAAAAAAAAAAACTATAGACAAACAAATAATCTGACCCAGTGTGATGGTGCACACCTGTAATCCCAGTGACTTGAGAGGCTAAGTGAAGAGGATTATGAGTTCGAGGGCAGCCTCAGCAACTTACTGAGCTTAGTGAGACCCTAAACAACATAGTGAATCCCTGTCTCAAAATTAAAAAAGTAAAAACATCTGGGGATATAGCCCCTGTACCAAATTATCATCACCATCACCACCACCACCACCACCATCATCATCATTATCATCATCATCTGTAATTGCCGGAAGATATTTGGGCAGAAAGAGGAAAAGCTGAAGCACAGGTGACACTGCTTATATGAAACTGGAGGGGCTGGGGATGTGGCTCAAGCGGTAGCGCGCTCGCCTGGCATGCGTGCGGCCCGGGTTCGATCCTCAGCACCACATACAAACAAAGATGTTGTGTCCGCCGAAAACTAAAAAATAAATATTAAAAAAATTCTCTCTTTCTTTCTCTCACTCTCTCTCTCTAAAAAAAAAAAAAAAAAAACGAAACTGGAATGCTGGGCTGGGTTTGTGGCTCAGTGGCAGAATGCTTGCCTCCCACATGTGAGGCACTGGGTTCAATCCTCAGCAACACATGAAAATAAATAAACAAAATAATGATATTGTGTCCACACATAACTAAAAATTTTTTTAAAAAAAGAAACTGGAATGCTGGGGATATATGTCATTAACTTTTTTTTTTTTTTTTTGGTACGGGAGATTGAACTCAGGGCCACTTGACCACTGAGCCACATCCCCAGCCCTAATTTGTATATTATTTAGAGATAGGGTCTCAGAGTTGCTTAACACCTCGCTTTTGCTGAGGCTGGCTTTGAACTAGTGGTCCTCCTGCCTCAGCCTTCCAAGCCCCTGGGATTACAGGCATGCACCACTGTACCCAGCCTTTTATAACATTCTTGAAATGGCAAAATTATTTATTGTATTAGGAGACAGTTTAGTAGTTGCCGGAGGTTAAGGAGGGAGTGGGGATGGGAGGGGAGTGGTCTCGGCTATTAAAGTGTAACATGAGATATCCTTGTGGGATGGATGTCAATATCCTGGTAACGATCTTGTACCAAAGTTTAATAAGATGTTACCATTAGGGGAAACTAGGTAAACAGTACATTGCAATTGAATCTATAATTATTTCAAAATAAAAACGAACTAGAGAAATAATGAAATTTCTTTCATAGAAAAAAGTAGGGGCTGGGGATGTGGCTCAAGCGGTAACCCGTTCGCCTGGCATGCGTGCGGCCCGGGTTCGATCCTCAGCACCACATACAAACAAAGATGTTGTGTCCGCTGAGAACTAAAAAATAAATTAAGAAAAAAGTAGGCTCTTCCTCCTTACCTCAAATGGTCTTCCAAGTTCTCCTGGAATCTGTGCAGGGAACCTCTGTGGTGATTTCCCATTAGCTGGCATGTTCATCCTGGACCTCAGTCCCCCTTCCAAAGCTGGGGAGATGTCCGTATGCAGACAATTCTGCAGCCTCCAGTAAGGTACAAGGCTCAATGGCTCCACAGAGACATCAAGAAATCCTAAAAGGGACAGTATCCATGTCATCAGTGTTGTTCCACATTCACCCCACAAAATTCAACAACCTCTATTCTGAGTATTATTCAGCATGGATTATGAAAATGATAATGAAATCTGGGATCAAATTAATGGACTTGGAGTCCCTTATCCTTGAGTGGCTCCACAGGGTGCTTCACACTCTACAAGCCAGCCTACTCTTCAATTCCAGATCTGGGTTTGAAGGGAGGGTAGAAGTGGGCCAGAGAATGGTGAAACTCCAAAGGGTAGGTAGAGAAGGGACTTGTTCCTGGGGACCTGGTAGGTGACTGAAGACAGGAGACTTAGCAATCTCAGTGAAAATGAATGGGTAGTCTCTTCTGCCACTTTTTATTATTTTTCCATTTTAACATTTAAAATCTTTCTCCTTCTCTCTTTCTTTCTATTTTTTCTTTTTTTGTATCAGGGGTTGAACTCAGGGGCAATCAACCACTGAGCCACATCCCAGCCCTATTTTGTATTTTATTTAGAGACAGGGTCTCACTCAGTTGCTTAGCAACTTGCCACTGCTGAGGCTGGCATTGAACTCATGATCCTTCTGCTTCAGCCTCCCAAACTGCTGAGATTACATGTGCATCCCCAGACTTTTTATTTTATTTTGAGACAAGGTCTTGCTAAATTGCTGGGGTTGGCCTCAAATTTGAAATCCTCCTGCCTCAGCCCCCCATATTACTAGAATTCCAAGTGTGCATCACCACACCAACTGGAAAAAAAATGTTTTAAAAACTCTCTTAAAAATTCTTCTACAGGGCTGGGGATGTGGCTCAAGCGGTAGCACGCTCGCCTGGCATGCGTGCAGCCTGGGTTGGATCCTCAGCACCACATACAAAGATGTTGTGTCCGCCGAAAACTAAAAAATAAATATTAAAAATTCTCTCCTCTCTCTCTCTCTCTCTCTCTTTAAAAAAAATTCTTCTACAGGGGAGTCTGAGTCTCTCCTTTCCAGAAGATGATAAACATTAATACTGTTATTTATTACATCAGCAAATTAGGGGTGACATGCTGCTACTAATTTATACCCCAAAGGCATCTAGCACAGTTCAACAACCATTACTAATAAAAGCTCAAAATTAGGGAAGAAGAAAATAAGTTAAATATCACAAAAATTACTTATGAAATTGAAACATAGCCCTGAAATATTATACCAAAAAGTAAATGGAACTATTGCCATTGAAATTAGTAAAAAGGGCAGAGGGTGTAGAAGAGTTCATGCTTAGCATATGTGAGACTCTGGGTTCCACTCCTGCATCACAAAAACAAAAAAGAAAAACAGGTAATCCCAGCAACTGAGGAGACTGAGGCCGGAGGATCACAAGCAGGAGGCCAGCCTCAGCCACTTAGAACGTGTCTCAAAAAATAAAAGAGGCTGGGAATGTAGCTCAGTGGTAAAGCACCATGGAATTCAATCCCTAGCACGTGCATGTGCACACACACACACACACACAAAAAAAATAGATTCCCGCTATGTCTCAAAAATTGTTTTGTGAGCTCTAGATGAAATAGAGTAAACATTGAGAAGAAATGAAAATGTAGCTTTCTTTGCCAGTGATTTGATTTTATACATAGAAAACTTACCAGACTGCTAAAGGGTTACTAGGATTCACAAGGTACAGTGAAAAGGGGCTGGATTCGAGATAAAATGATAACAGCAGATACTTTTTCCCTATAATAGCAATGAGCAAATGGAAATGGAAGAAAAATCTATTAATAATTATGATAGCAGGAAACATATAAAACATCTAAGAATAAACTTGTTAGAGGAGCTGGGCCTATACAATTAAAATGGTTTAGAAACCTGGACAAATATGGCTGCACATCTGTTATCCCAGATATGGGGGAGACTGAGGCAGGAAGATCAAAATTTTAAGACCAGTATCTACAAGATGGTGAGGCAGTAGCTCAAAATTTAAAAAATAAATAAATAAAAATAAAAAGGGCTGGGGACGTAGCTCAGTGGTAAAGCACCCTGGGTTCAATCTCCAGGAAGAGAAAAGACAATTTTAAAAAATGATGCTTCAAGGGAGCTGAAAGCAGACTACCCCAGAGGCTCCTAACCTTGACCCCCACAGACTCCCATTCACTGGATTCTTTAATTCACCAGCAACTGGCACACAAAACCTTCCAATTTATCCTTCTCAAAATACAACAAAGCCATCACCTCAAAACCACCTGAGAGACTGTCACGCCATATACCCTCATGCACTGGCTTTAGTGCCGCGCGCCGAGACTTAAATGGCCTCTGAGGACCATTTCCGTTTCCTGTCCTCACCCCAGACACTGCAGCTTCTAGGACTGTTGGTTTTGCACCCAATCATAAGGGCTGAGAGGTTGCAGTCTACTCACACTTGAACAAGGTGTTACGGATCGGCAGAGACTTTGGCCATGAATGGCGTTATCAGGAGATCAACATGGCCGCGCTAAGTCTTCTCTCCATGAGGGCCGCCATATTCGCGCCCAATTCCGTACAGCGGGCTGTTCCACAGAAGGCGGGATCAAGGGGGGTGTTCAGGTGTAGAAGCCTGGCGAAGGCAAGCTTCCGGTAGACGCTAGACTTTGGAAATGGATTCTGTAGATCGCTACAAAGTTTAGCAAAACAAAGTTGCCTTCCCTTCCGGGAGCATAGGGAGGTGTGTACCCTTAGCTCCCAAGTAGATACATTGAGCAAGAGGGGAAAGGACTCAGAATGGTACAATCCTCTTCTTGGCGCTACCACTGGGATGAGGAGGAGAAGTCAGGTTAAAGCGGTACAGGTTCCCTCATGGGCGATACCATTGGAGAACAGGGGGGAAGAATCAGGGTGATAAGTCTCCTCTTAATGTGCCACAATTGCCGTAGAGGGGACTTGAATCCCCCTCAATTTCCATTATCCAGATAAGAGGATGGTAGCCAGGAATGATAAAAATAATAGTCTTCCACATGGACAACTAAGGTTTTTCAACAAACTCTCAATAGAAAAATGTTTAGAAAACGTTATAAGAATACTTTTGGTGAAATGTACCTCCAAGGACATATCTCCTCCTCTTGCTGCCAACAAGATACAGCTGATTAGCATCTCCTGTATGTAAATTCAGAAGCTGCTAATGAATTATGGATGTTCTTTATATGTGAACTCCTACACATTCTTCCAAACCTAGTCCAAATATATACTCCTCCAGGAAGCCTTCCCTGATTAGAGGTAGGGGGATATTTTCCCTGCTGAAGTTGTTTCAGAACCAGCAGGTAGGTTATGGCTTAGCTTGGGTATGGATAACTGGCACCCTAAAGACATCTAAATCCTCTCTCTGGGCCGTAGCTCATCATTACCCCCACTTTCTTTGTCCGTCTAGCAGTATTGGTGAGTTGAAAGAAAGACAATGACATCTGTGAGAATACTGCTATAAGGCATACACTTCTACAAAAATTCCCCAAATTCATTGTTGTTGTGACTTCTGCTCAACATCTCAAACCCTGGACTCTGTTAACTCATCCACCACCAATGCCTCTGTAAACTGATCTTAAACATGGATCAGGCTAGGCACAGTGGCACATGCCTGTAATCCCAGAGGCTCTGGAGGCTGAAGGAGGAGGATAGTGAGTTTAAAGCCAGCCTCAGCAAATTAGCAAGACCCTAAGCAACTCAGAGAGACCCTGTCTCAAAATAAAGTATTTTTAAAAAGGGGAGGGATGTGGCTTAGTGGTTAAGTGCCCTGGGTCCAATCCCCAGTACAAGAAAAAAAAAATGTATTAACTCCCCAACACCTATGTCTATCAATGATTCCTGCATTTTCATTTTGAATCCAAACTTGTCTGTGTGTGTGTGTGTGTGTGTGTGTGTGTGTGTGTGTGTATGTATGTCAGGATTGAATTCATAAGCACTCTACCACTAAGCTATGCCCCCAGGCCATTTTATTTTTTATTCTCTGACAGGGTATCACTTAAATTCCTCAGATTGGCCACAAATTGTGATCCTCCTGCCTCAGCCTCCTGAGTTGCTGGGATTACAGGCTTGTATCACTGTAACAAGCCAAATCCAAGCTTCTTGTTATGGTTTGAATCTGGAATGGCCATCCAAATTTGCATGTGCTCAGAAGTGAGGCTTTGGGGGAATAACAAGATCATGAGAGTTCTGACCTCATTAGTGGATTAATCCATTGATGGCTGAATGGACTACTGTGAAGTGGAAACTAGTTGAAGGAATCAGGTCACTTGGGTCGTGCCCTGGAAAGATTTATCTTCTCTCTCACCCCTGAAACCTTTATACCTGTGAGCCAAAATATATCTTTCCTCCTCTAAGTTGTTTTTCTAAATATTTGCCAAAGCAACAAAAGGCTGACTACCACACTTCTGCTTGCTAACTCTTCTTTTATAGATTGAGAGACTAGATATCTATTAATTTTCCACTAACAATCCTTCTCAAAGCCTCTGTGTTCTAAATCTCAACTATGGAGCCAGGGTTAATTCTTCTGCCATCAAAGTCCTTCTGATTAGATATCCAAACCCATCACTTTAACAAATGCCTGAGTTAAAGTTCAAACCAGAGGGACAATGATGTTTTTAAACTAACAGAAGCTCAGGGTAAGGAACTGGCCCAGAGAGCCATTAACAGTAAAAATGTATTCATACTAGAAGACTTCTTACAGGTCTATGTTTGCTACCTATGAAACAAGATGGTTTCTGGAAAAATCATTAACAGAAATTTATAGACAAAACCAGGGAGACTGATGATGGAAAAATTAATATTTTCTTTTCTGTTTTGGTACTGGGAATTGAACTCAGGGACACTCAACAACTGAACCGTATCCCCAGCCCTATTTTGTATTTTATTTAGAGACAGGGTCTTACTGAGTTGCTTAGTACCTCTCTGTTGCTGAGGCTGGCTTTGAACTTGTGGTCCTTCTATCTCAGCCTCCCGAGTCACTGGGATTACAGGTGTGTGCCAAGGCACCTGGTGAAAAATTAATATTTTCTTAGAATATAGACTTGGCATAGTTACTGGAGGCCCCAGGTCTCAAGGTCAGAAATTATGATACATCAGCCTAGGTCTGTATCTCTCTTTCTCTCTCTCTCTCATATCCCCATTCCAGGGTAAACCAGCCACTGTGTCATAAGGCCATTCAGATGGCTTTTTTGTTCTGTGGTAGGGATATAATCTAAGGCCATGTGTATGCTAAGCAAGCGTTCTGCCACCAAACTACATTCCCAGACCTCAAAGGGCCTTTGGAGAGGCCCTTGTACCAAACATTCCTGTTAATAGCCAGTAGGGAACTGAGGCCCTTAGCCAACAGCATTTTTTTTATAACAGCTACTGAACCCAGGGGCCCTTAACCACTGAGCAACAGCCCCAGCCTTTTTTATTTTTTTGAGACAGGGTCTCTCTGAGTTGCTTAGGGTCTTGCTAAGTTGCTGAGGCTGGCTTTGAACTTTTGGTCCTCCTGTCTCAGTCTCCACACCCAGCCACCAATAGCTAGTCAAATAAAGCAGCTTAGAAGTGAAAAACCTTATGAGAGACCCTAAGACAGAACCACCCAGGTAAGCCAAATTCTTTATACCACAGAAACAGATAATAATATTTGTTGTTTTAAGTTTCTATGTTTGGGGATTGTTTGTTATGCAGCAATAGATAGCTAGTATAGGTATTTGTTTCATTAAAGTCTTGGTATTTTGTTCATTAAGAATTTATTGCTGGGGCTGGGGTTTTGGCTCAGTGGTAGAGTGCTCGTCTAGCACGTGCAAGGTGCTTGATTCGATCCTCAACGCCATATATAAATAAATAAAATAAAGGTATAAATAAATAAAGGACTGGGGATGTAGCTCAGTGGTAAAGCACCCCTTAATTCAATCCCCAGTACCAAAAAAAAGAATTATTAAAAAAGAATTTACTGCATTAATTTTGACTTTTGAAAATATTGCTTCAAATATCTTTAAATTTTGCACTCATAAATTCACTTTCCTCTCTCTCTCTAGTCTTAGTGAGCCTAGCACAGGACACTTGCTGTCTAAAATCACAGACTATATATTGTCCTGTGTGAAATGATTGGTAAAAATAAAAAAATCCCACTCTTGCCTGGAGGATTTAATCCACTTTGATATAGAGAAACAGCCTTGATTTTCAACCCAGGTACAGAGCTTCTGGTAATGGATAACTGAAGCCAATATTTCATATCTGGCTTTACTTTGGTATTTCTTTTTTCTTTCTTTCTTTCTTTTTTTTTCTTTTTGTACCAGGGATTGAACTCAGGCACTTGACCACTGAGCCCCATCCCCAGCCCTATTTTGTATTTTTATTTAGAGACAGGGTCTCACTCAGTTGCTCAGTGCCTTGCCTTTGCTGAGGCTGGCTTTGAACTTGCAATCCTCCTGTCTCAGCCTCTTGAGCTACTGGGATTACAGGTATGTGCCACCATGCCTGGCTACTTTGGTATTTCTAAAGAGAAGTGACCTTGAGTCTACTTCACATCCTAGACCTAATATTGACACTTTTACATACCAAACTGTTTTATTTTGGGCTCATTGAAAATATTGCTTCAGTTAAGTGTTACCTAAACTCTATATCTGCTTAAAGCACTCCTACACTCTATAGTAATCCCATTTCTTTTTGGTGACACTAAGGTATGAACCATCTCTATTTGCCTAGGACTGAGGGGTTTACTTGGACAAGGTCAGTTTCAATGCTAAAAACAGGAAAGTCTTGGGCAAACTGGAAAAAAATTAGTCATCCTAGATGAGACATCCCAGTTTTGTGAGGTTTGGTCTCCCTTGCTGCAGCAGACCAATAAGCCCATTTTATTTATTCTATGTATGTGACCCTGGTGGTATCAAGGTCATTAATGTTGGAAAAACTCACAAAGGTCAACATTTTTTTTATCATTGTCTTTTTTTATGTGTATGTGGTATCTGGGATTGAACTGAGGGGTGTTCTACCACTGAGCTACATCCCCAACCTTTTTATTTTATATTTTGAGACAGGGCCTCACTAAATTGTTTAGGTTCTAAGTTGCTGAGGTTGGCCTTGAATTTGCAATCCTCCTACCTCAGCCTCCCAAGTAGCTAGGATTACAGGTATGTGCCACTGACCTCATTTTTATTATTATTATGATTATTTCAGTTTTTCTTTTATGAGTCTTTTTTAAAAATATATACTGAGGATTGAACCCTGGCAATAGAGGTCAATTTTGAGATCACTCCTGGTATACATTGATGGTAGAAAAATTAACACATCTGGATCTGATTCTGTATTAGAGAGACATTGGTGAGGGAATAGTTAATTGAAAGTTGAGTGCTAAGTCATACCAGAAATTATGTGATGGTGGAAATGTTATTGGAGCAGTTCTAGATTTGAGGTCAGACTAAAGCAACATGGGATTTAAAGTTGGTCCAAAGGTGGTAGAAATGTTAA